AACTGAAGGTTTCATGATTGGCATTCAAGATCAGGTGATACCAAACCTTAAACTATAGAAAATACCTCATGAAAGAAGAAGGCATTGAAGATAGATGTCGTATATGCTATAACAAGTCGGAAAACAATAGAGCATATCCTGACGAGCTGCACTCCCCTAGCTTCCACTGAGTATCTGAAGCGCCACGACAACGTGGCTAAAATAGTTCACCAAGAAATTTGTTATGCTGGAAACATACTAACTGACCGCACCCCATATTACAAGTACCAGCCGACTCCAGTTATAGAAAACTAACAGCCATAAAATATACTGGAATAGAACAATTCAAACAGATCACACCATGGAATACAACAAACCAGATATCGTAGTTCAAGATAAATGAAGCAAGTTACCTGCATAATTGACATTAGTGTGCCTGCCCCACATAACATAGCTGAGAAGCAGGACAGAAGAGGTCGCAAGTACTTACCACTAGCTGCAGAAGTAAAAACACTGTGGAATCAAGAAAAAGTTGAAGTCATCCCAATAGTGATCCGAGCCACAGGAGAAATACCTAAGAGTCTACATAAATATATTGAGAAACTAAATCTGCCGCAGAAACTATACCTCTCACTTCAGAAAGCTGCTATCTTAGGTAGTTGTCATGTAGCACGCAAGGTCCTGAATGTAGCCACATAGACAAAGAGAAACCAATAGTCACACTCAGACGCTTGCAGTATAATGCCGCGTTTGAGGATACCACCTGCAGTAGCAGAGAATAGCTAACAGAAAACGGAATAATAATAATTATAATAATAATAATAATAATAATATAATTATAGTAATAATAATAATAGTTATAATAATAATAATATAATGATAATAATAATAATAATCATAATATAATAATAATTATAATTATAATTATAATAATAATAATAATACTAATAATAATAATAATAATAATGATAATAATAGTTATAATAATAATAATTATAATAATGCAAGAGCACACAGAAAACCAAGAACAAATTGAGATAAACGATGGCCAACCATCTAAATAAGCAGATGAGTTCAGGGCTTGTTTCATGAAGTATGATGGTGTGGAACCAACTCTTAAACCAAGCCTACCAAAGCTAATAATAAAACACCCATACATCTGAGTATATCGCTGAAGTTAACAAAGTAATAGATAACGAGATTACAGAAGATACAACCTTGACTGAGCTCCATAGCCTGTTGTTACATTGGAGCACTTACAGTCCTAAATTAAATGACACAGAGCGTTGGCGAACAATGTGTAAGGAAAAAACAGAAAACTGCCAGCCTGGGAGATGAGGATATTATCGCGTAATATAGAGGAGATTAGAAAGGACATAGCAATACTCACCCAGTACCGCAGGTCTGAATGTAGTCTGAGAGTAAAGAGATCCGCAGAGAATGTGATAAACCGTCCACTGCTCGGAGGAGAACCCAACAGCCGTAGAAGTCCTTGGACTACCTGAAGCAAACACTAGCAGCTACAGCACTACGACTTCGAAGGTACAAGAAAAGCAACGAACGCCGGAAACAAAATCGAGCATTCGAGACCAATCAGCGAGGCTTTTACAGGAACTTGCAGGCGCGACGGAGGGATACAGATCAGAACAACGTTCAGATTCCTACCTCAGATGCCATCAATACCTTCTGGTCAGGAATTTGGAGCAATCCAATCAATCATTCCACATCTAAATGGTACCGCCAAGAGAAAGCAAATAATTCAACTTTTAGGACCATGCTCGACTGGAAAGTAAGCTTAGATGACGTGGTAAATACTCTACGAAATTACCAAACTGGAAAGCCCCAGGATCAGGTAAGCTTCAGAATTATTGGCTACAAACGTTCACTTCGGCTCACGATCGACTCGCAAAGTGTTACACCTCAATCTTAGAGCAACCAGATATGTTGCCAGAGTTCTTAACAATGGGAATAACATATTTAATCCCAAAGTGCGGCGATCACTCGAACGATCCGGCAAAAATACCGACCAATCACCTGTCTGCCGACTATTTACAAGGTATTGACTGCTATAATTACTGAAAAGATATATTCACACCTAGAGCGGAATTACTATACTAGACGAAGAGCAAAAAGGTTGCCGAAAAGGGTCTCGAGGCTGTTAAAGAGCAACTTGTTATAGACTCTGTCATAACTAATTACGCCAAAAAGAAAAAAATACCCCTGTACATGCATACATCGATTATCAGAGAAAGCGTTTGACAGTATACCTCACTCTTGGCTGTTAGAGGTGCTTGACCTTTATGGGATCGAGTGCCACATCAAACAATTTCTGGCACATGCTATGGCGAATTGGAAGACACGGCTCTATCTCAACACCCAGATACGCAATTTAGTGCCGGAGAGGTATCCATCAAGAGAGGAATATTTCAAGGAGACTCTTTAAGTCCGCTATGGTTCTGCTTAGCGCTTAGACCGTTAACAACAATGCTAAATAGCCAAAAGAAAGGAATACTGTTAGGTGGCAATGAAACACGCATTTCACATCTTTGGTACATGGATGACCTCAAACTTTTTGCAGAAAAACCAAAGAACATCTTCATAAGCTTCTGGACTGTGTAAGTAAATTCAGCACTGACATCAAGATGCTGTTTGGCTTAGAAAAGTGCAAGATCAGTTGCATGGTAAAAGGGCCAATGGAGTAAACATTCAGGATATGAGCCGAACCAAGTGCAAGGGAAAATTGAAGGAATGCAGCAAGATGAACAGTATAAATACTTCGGCTATCTACAAGCGCCGGGCATAGACCAGAAGCTGCAAAAGAAAGGCAATGGAGCACTATAGAACACGTTTGAGGGCGGTGCTGAAAACAAGTCTGTCAGCTCGTAATACAGCACTTGCTGTCAGCACCTACGCTACTTCGGTCCTTACCTACACGTTTGGCATACTGACAACTGGACGGATACAGAACTGAACGCACTTAATGTGGAAACCAGAAAAGAATTCCGTAAACACCGGGGACACCACCCACATAGTTCCATAGAGCGGTTCCATCTACCACGAAGTGAGGGTGGCAGAGGAATACCTTGCATACCTACAATACATCACCGCCAAGTGGACAATCTACGCCAGTACTTCCTCCAAAAAGCCACATCCAGCAGAATGCATCAAACAATAACACAGAAGGATAAAAAGTGACACCACTAAACCTTTCAGAAAAATCTTTCGACCCTGAGGCAAAGATAACCCCAATGCAGGATCTGGTTCGCCAATGGAAAGCCAAACCACTACATGGTCGGTATAGGAGCGCATAGAAGACAACGCCATTGACACGAAGGCTTCCCAAGGATGGTTGCAGTCAGGTAATCTGTTCCTGGAGACGGAGGGCTTCATAGCCCTCCATCCAGGATCAGGTAGTCCCAACAAAGTTGTACCGAAAGCGTATAATGCATGAGAACGTTGACGATATCAGATGCCGCATATGTGGGGAAAAAGATGAGCACATAGATCATATTGTAGCAGGCTGCTCTCCCTTAGCTCCTAAACAATATCTTGAAAGGCACAATGATGTGGCCAAAAATACTTTATCAAGCTTTGGCTAAAAAGCATCTAGGAGAAACTGGTACACAGCCCTACTATAATACACGCCGCCACCCCTGTGATAGAAACGGAGACCTCTAGGCTGTACTGGAACCGTAAAATCATAACTGACAGGCCCATCCCCAACAATATCCTGACATAGTGCTCACACTAAAGAAGAAAGAAACGACGTTTATAATAGACATAGCTGTGCCTCTTCCTACTAATATCCAAACCACCCATGCGGAAAAATCAATAAGTATTTGCCACTCTCCGACGAAAATAAAACGATGTGGGAATGGGCAATGTGTCTATAATACCAGTTATAATAGGAGCTACTGAGAGATACCAAGGAAACTACACAAGAGTCTGGAAAAGCTACAGCTCCATCCAAAAATATACTTGCAACTGCAAAAAGCGCACTGCTGGGAACATGTAGGACAGTACGTAGGGTTTTAGGAGATGAGAACCGGATACGGTGAAAAGACCGCTACAGATCTATTTCCTTACTTTGGCTAACCGCCTGAGGGAATATTAATACCGTCGACAGAGGAGTAAAATAGTAGAAATAATAAGAATAATAATATTAATTATTAGAATAATAAAAGAATCATGATAATAATAATAATAACTATATTTAGAATAATAATAATTATAATTATAATAATCATAATAATAATAATAATAATTATAGTTATAATAATAATAATAATTATAGTAATAATAATAATAATACTCATAATAATAATAATAATAATAATAATAATAATTACAATAATAATAATAATCATAATTGTATGTGCTACGCCCACTGGCAAAATGGGTTTCGACCATCTCCCGCAGGAGCGCGCCCACCATCCAGCGCGCAGCCTACCACTGCCGACCGGAAGACCGTTGAATTTTGAACGGTCCAATGGGATGCCTTCCTCTCGGAGCGACCAGGAGAGAGGCCGGAAGAAGGTACCTTTTGACCATAACCAGAAAATCTGTTCGGTATAGACAATTTTTCAATTACGACAGTTTCTCATGAAATGTACATTGAACAAAAACATAAATGTAATCAATAAATACAGTCCACTATACACAACATTTGGTCCAATCGACCCGGATAGCCAGTGAAACAAGCAAGTAAACAAGAAACAAGTTCACAAGTGCAGGCGGCAGGCAAGAATCCACGCCATATTCACAGAAGTTCAACCCGCAATCAGCAATACAAGTGGAAGACAGAAATCCACGCAGGTACCCATTTACCATTTCCTTGATTCAGTCAATATAGCGACAAATGCTACTTTGAATTTCGACTCGTATTACATGTGCAGGCATTCAACAGCCTAGAAAAGCAATATACTCTCAAGTGAGAACGTTTACTGGTGTCAATTTTATGCCCAATTCATCAATTTCGATCATTTTTTTATCGATACTCATTCACATAAAGCAATTACACAATGGCACAATCAGTTTTGATCAGGAAACGAGGCACAATCAAAGCCAAGTTGGCTCATTTTGAAAAATTCTTGAACAGCGTACAGCCTCAAGATTTAGCCAGACAAACTATATTCATATGCAAGAACGGTTGTACTAATTCGAAACCCTTTTTGACAGCTTCGATGAAATTCAGTCAGAAATTGAATGTGAATCAGATAATCCAGAAGCATGCTATGCAGAAAAGAGAGGATTTTGAAACCAAGTTCTATCTTCAGCTCTCAAGAGCTAAATGTTTATTAGAATCACAAAGTAATCTCAGTAACAACATTCCTCACAACAATGATGACACTAAATCACAACAATCTGAATCTGATACGCAATCAATTTCAGAGCAATCAGTTTACACACAAGGTCAGGCCACTCATGTTATTCAGTCACAAAATGATGGCTTCAAACTGCCTGATGTAGATTTACCAAAATTCAATGGCGAATATGAGTCTTGGATGGAGTTTCGGGAAACCTTCGAGTCCATGATACATATGATACACAGCTACACAACATACGTAAGTTTCACCTATTTGCGGGCTTCATTAGCAGGAGATGCAACCGTGTAATTCAAGAAATCGAATTACAGCAGACAACTACAGCATAGCTTGGCAAGTTCTTAGAGACAGGTATGATACAAACAGGTTCTAATTCAAAAATCATTTACGTGCAATTGCAACTTTGAGGGTTTCAGCACTGCTTAATCAGCAAAAATCAGAGAAGTATCTGAGAATCTTTTCAAACATTTAAAAAGTCTAAAGCAGTTAGGTATCAGCATAGAAAAGTGGGATGTCCTAGTCATCTATTTAACAGTCAGTAAATTAGATCGCTATTCAAGCCAAGAGTGGGAGCGGCACACAGCAAATACAGATATACCCACATTGGTTGAGTTTAAAGATTTCCTCAGAAAAAGAGCAACATTGTTAGAAAAACTAGAAATGGATTATGTTTCAAAAGGTGATTCATCACGATATCAATCAGATAAAAGATATTCAAAGGGTTCTGCTCGTTCAAAGGGTTTAGTCACTAGTGGTATCTCAAATCAAGGTGAAAATGTTAGCAAATCAAAACAGAGTTTGTTACAATTGCAAAGGTGATCACAGCATATTTTATTGTTCGGACTTCTTGAAATTATCAGTACAAGAGCGATTCAACAAAGTCAAATCGCTGCAATTGTGCCTGAATTGTTTAAGAAAGGAACACACGTCGCGTGACTGCAAATCTTCTGGATGCAGGCTATGTCACATAAGCATAACACGCTTTTACACACAAATCAAAATGTTTCAGTATCAGTAACCCAAGTTGATGAGATCAATGATACACACAATGAATCCAATGAGGTCAAGGTAGGTGCCACCCAATGCACTCTAGTAGCAGCACAGAATGCCTTACTGCCACAGCACAGGTGGATGTCACAGGTAAGTCAAGCACACAGCATTTCGTAACAGCACGAGCACTGTTAGATTGTGGCTCGCAATCCTCATTCATAAACCACAGATCTATGTAACAAACTAAAGCTACCCAAGTTTAAGGTCAAGTTGGCAGTTACTGGCATAAGTGACAAGCTGTCATATGCTAATTACAAGTGTGAATTAAGCATTCACTCGAGACATAGTCACTATTCAATCCATATGTCATGTTTTGTTTTAGACAAGATAACCTCAATGGTCCTGACAATAATATGCCTATTCAACATTTCAATTTACCAGTCAACATCAAACTGGCAGATCCAGAATTCAATGTTACACGAAATATTGACATTTTATCGTGTGCAGATGTTTTTTGGCAAATCTTAGAGAGTGAACGCATCAACATTAGTAAAGATTTACCCATTTTGCAAAATACCAAATTAGGTTGGGTCCTCGCTGGTCCATTATCCATGCCAGTCACAAAAACTCAATGTCATTTGTCAGTAACAGATCCTTTACAGAATCAGTTAAGAAAGTTCTGGGAGCTGGAAGAAATCCCATTTGATTCCCCGGCTTGGTCCCAGAAGAGCGTTTATGCGAAAAACATTTTATTGAAAATCTGCAAGTTTTAGAAAACGGACGTTTCATGGTGTCATTGCCATTCAAAGAATCTCCAGACAAGCTGGTCATTCACGAGAGGTAGCAATTAAACGTTTCGTTGCATTAGAAGGAAATTCGCTTCAAATGATCATTTCAGACAACTTTATACGGATTTTTAAAGGATATGCGTCATTAGGTCACATGACAGAAATCACAGACATTAATCATGAGCCAGAATACTATCTTCCTCACCACGGTGTCCTGAAGGAATCGTCAGCCACAACAAAGCTGAGAGTAGTTTTCAATGCTTCATCTCCAACCTCGACAGGAGTTTCCTTGAACGACCTTCAAATGACAGGTCCAATAATCCAACAGGATTTGCTTTCAGTCATATTGCGTTTTCGATTCAAAATATTGTTCTTTTCAAGCGACATCAAAATGATGTACAGACAAGTTCTTATTCACTCAGATCAAGAAATTTACAAAAAATAGTTTGGCGCTCCAGTCCAGATGAAGATTTAAAGACGTATCATTTAAATACAGTGACTTATGGCACCACAGCTGCTTCATTTCTAGCCATTCGTTGCTTACATGAAATCGCATTCAGATGCAAGCATGAATTCCCTCAATATCAAAATAATAAAGAATGACATGTACGTGATGATCTATTGACGGCGTAGATACACTAGAAGAAGCCGTATATGTATGTCAGAATATTTCCAAAATACTTCAAAAGCACGGTTTTGAATTACGAAAGTGGAAGTCAAATAATTTAGATGTTTTTAAAGGGCTTTGATTCAGTTAACAGTAATCATTTAGTCGATTCACAAGCAAGGACGATCTAACGAGCAAAACTTTAGGACTCGTGTGGCGTCCAGAATCAGACATTCTTACATATAAAATTCATTCTGAAACTAACCACACAGCGAATATTACCAAAAGGCAAATTTTGTCGAAAATTTCAACTATCTTTGACCCACTAGGGTTTGCTTAGTCCTTGCGTAATCAAGGCTAAGGTCCTATTGCAATCACTTTGGGCGGAAAGTATAGCCTGGGACACTCCGCTGCCAGTTGACATGCGCAAGTCATGGCTCAGTCTTGCAGAAGACTTAAATATTTTGAATAAGCTTATCATCAATCGCAAGGTAGTATGTGACAAGGCAACGGCAATATCAATGCATGCATTTGCAGATGCTTCGGAAAAAAGCTACGGAGCATGCGTATACATTGTATCTGAAAATGCAAGTGGTAATAAAACCGCCAACCTTCTGTGCGCTAAATCTAAGGTTGCGCCTATCAAATCTCAATCAATGCCTCGACTAGAATTATGCGCTGCGTTAGTTGCGTCTCAATAATTGCAAAAATATCAAAATCAATTGACACCTCATTTAGTTCCATTCACTGTTGGACGGACTCGACGATTGTTTTGGGCTGGCTAAAATCCAACCCTAGTACTTTGAAACCATTTGTAGCCAATCGCGTCTCAGAAATTCAGCGACTGACAGAATCTATAGAATGGCATCATGTTCCACTCTGGACAACCCAGCTGACATTGTCTCGAGAGGTCTCAGCCCTAGTTCTCTAATGCATTCAAAGTTATGGTTTCATGGACCAGACTGGTTATTATACCTCGATCAATGGCCAACCTCGCCAATATTATTATCAGAACTACCGGAACAGAGGAAAGGGTGTAATGTTTCCTCCACACCAGCAATTCATTTTCCCTTTCATAGATTCTCCACCCTAACCAAATTAAAACACTGTTCAGCGTATATTTTGAGATTTATAAATAATTCACGTTTAAAACCAGGTGATCGTGCGCTGAGATTTTACAGTAACGAACTAGAAAGATCCTTCACCTTTTTGATACGATTAGCGCAACAGGAAGCGTTTCAGAGGAGATCAGTTCTTTACAAAAGAATCGTAAACTTCAATGCAATAACCGCTTAGTTAGCTTAAACCCATTCATAGACGAATGCGGAATCATGCGCGTTGGAGGGCGCTTGGTAAACGCTGAATATCCGTATGATAAAAAGCATCCAATTGTGCTTCCTCAAAAACACCACCTTACTAGACTTATATTCGAACATGAGCATCGGACCTTACTTCACGCGGGTCCGCAACTTTTGCTAGCTACCATACGAGAGAATTTTTGGCCCATTTCCGGGCGCAATCTGGCACGAAAAATAGTACGGGAATGCGTAATTTGCGCTAGGCATGCTGCACGTAACTTTCAACCAATCATGGGTTCATTGCCTAAGGCTCGCGCTCATCCTTCTTTACCATTTTCGCATGTCGGAATTGATTATGCGGGACCTTTTGCAATCAAAGACAAAAGAGGACGAGGTTGCAAAGTTATAAAATGTTGGGTAGCTCTATTCGTATGCTTCAGTACTCGAGCCATTCATTTGGAACTTGTGTTATCATTGAGCACCGATGACTTCCTCCAAGCACTTCATCGTTTTATTGCTAGACGTGGTAAGCCATTAGAAATATTCTCCGACAACGGTACCAATTTCATTGGGGCTGCTAAAGAGGTAAAGTATATGTACACCTTTCTTAATGAGAATTCAGAGACAATTTATTCCAAAACTGCTGACATGGGCATAAAGTGGCATTTCATACCAGTAAACTCCCCTCACTTCGGCGGAATATGGGAAGCCGGTGTAAAAGGTGTAAAACATCACTTAAAGAGATCAGTGGGACTTCATAAACTTTATCTTTTAGACTTTCAAACGCTTTTAATTCGCATTGAAGCTATATTGAACTCCCGTCCTTTATTTCCTTTGAGCTCTGACCCTGAAGATTTGACCCCTTTAACGCCTGCTCACTTCTTAATTGGTAAATCGATGCAGACTCTGCCAGTACCTACAAATATGTCTGCCCCCGAAAATAGATTGAGCCAATTCCAGTTATTAGACCGCCTGCACAGCCATTTTTGGACTAGATGGAGCAAAGAATATATCAGCGAACTGCAACAGCGCTGTCGTTGGAAGCAAACCCGAGGAGATCTCTAGATAGAACAGCTAGTGCTAATGAAAGACGACAACGCCCCTCCAGCCAAGTGGCGTCTTGGAAGAGTCATTCAGCTGTCACCTGGCACCGACGGCGTCCCCCGAGTTGCATCGTTGAAAACCGAGAACGGAATGACTTCTAGAGCTATCAACCGCCTGGTTCCATTGCCGGTTGTCCATCCGCAGGATTCCCAAGGCCCGGGGCATGTATGTGCTACGCCACTGGCAAAATGGGTTTCGACCATCTCCCGCAGGAGCGCGCCACCATCCAGCGCGCAGCCTACCACTGCCGACCGGAAGACCGTTGAATTTTGAACGGTCCAATGGGATGCCTTCCTCTCGGAGCGACCAGGAGAGAGGCCGGAAGAAGCTACCTTTTGACCATAACCAGAAAATCTGTTCGGTATAGACAATTTTTCAATTACGACAGTTTCTCATGAAATGTACATACAATACATTGAACAAAAACATAAATGTAATCAATAAAATACAGTCCACTATACACAACAATAATAATATATAATTTAATTATAATAATAATATTAT